CAACCATTCATGCAGTTAATGACCTGAGTACTTCAAGTCCTGTGCAAAAACACATGATCGCACGGGTCCGCCCGGTGCGTTCCAGCCTGGGTTTCCTGTAAATCTGTTATGCTGAAATCAAAAATCCTAGAGTGATGGTCCGGAATAATTCAAGCAATTTCTAAAATTAGACGATGCAAATCGTTGTAACACTTGAGTGGACTTTTTCACAATCAACATTTCCAGTTTTTCGTTCTGAGGCATACTTGTTCTGCTTTTTAGGTACAAGAATGGACAAGAAATTACACCAAGTGATAAAGCAAAACCAAAAACTGTAAATGATAAGAATTATCAGCTTGAAATACGAGATGCTGAAGAAGATGATGGTGCCGAATATAAGGTAACGTATTTTAACACTTAATTTTGGTGAAATTTTCCAGATGATTAGATGTTAAACTACGTTCCGATTTTCAAGTTGACGAGCTACCTTTTTTATACATTCCAATTTTTATCCTTTTTCGTGACCCCACTACTTTTGTTTCCGATTTTTCTTTTGTTTCTACACGTTTATTATTACCTCGGGTGTTTTACATTTCATTATTTTGCTGATTAGAATGTAGAAAATTGAAGAAATTTTTATAAAAAGAAGCGAAAACAATCTTAGTAAAATATTAGTTTTAGTAACAGGATAAAAAAATGGGATGTATTAACAACGGATGAAAAAAGACGAAGAAATGCTAAAGAATAGCAATTTCTTTAAAAAAAATTAGATTTAATGCATAAAAAAGTTTTTCAGCTTCCCAAAAACCTGCGTAATTTTTCAGGTTGTTCTATCAAACGATGAAGGAAGCGCTGATTCTAGTTGCGCTTTGATCGTCAAACTACCACCTGAAAGACCAACAATCAAAAAAGGCATTGAAGATCAATTTATTCCGATTGGAAAACCACTGGAAATTGCTATTGAGGTATTTTATTATTCATTTTCTAATCAGTTTATCAAAATTAAACAACAGGATTTGCACCAGATTAACTAAAGTAATTCTTTTGAAAATTTCATTTTTATGCGTTTTGTGCTGTGTAACAGCAGTACAAAACGCATATTGTTACGGGGTTGT